GCTAGAATTTTTAATACTATATTGAATAGGAATGGATGGAGTGGACATCCTTGTCTGGTTCCAGATTTTAAAGGAAATGCTTTTCGTTTACCTCATTTGCTATGTTGTTGGCTTTGGGTTTGTCATATATAGCTTTATGATGTTGAGGTGAGTTTCTTCTGTCCCTAGTTGTTTCAGTGTTTTTATCATGAGTGGGGGGCTGATTTTGAGATAATTGATTTTTGTTCTTAATTGTATTTATGTGATGCATTGTATTTATTGATTTGCGTTTGTTAAACCATCTTTGCATTTCTCGGTTAAAACCAAATGGTTATGATGATCAATCTTCTTAATATAGTCTTGATTATAATTTGCTAATATTTTATTCAGGATTTTTGCATCATAAGTTCATTGGGGATATTGGTTCATAGTTGTGTTTTTTTTTTTTTTTTTTTTCCTTGAGGTTTTCTTACCTGGTTTTGATATGCTTTTGATACTGGCTTCACAGAATGGATTTGAAAATGTTGCTTGAATGAATTTTGAAGTTTCTATTCTATGGAATAATTTGAGGAATGTTGGCATTTGTTCTTTTTTAAAGTCTAATAGAATTTAGCTAAGAATCCATTCAGTCCTGGACTTTTCTTTGTTGCAAGGCTTTTTATTACTAATTTTATTAGTAGTGAGATAGACTTAACTTAGGTGACTTAACATCTGTTAAGACAGTTTTATAATATTTTTTCAAGTCTGAAGATTATTCACTGAGTTTATGTTTGGATGACCTATCTTTCAGTGAGAAAAGTATGTTGAAACCACCCAATATCATTGTATTGGAGTCTGAATCTTTAATTTGAATATCGTTTTATGTAACTAGGTGCACCAATGTTTGGGGCATAAATATTCACTATTGTTATATCTTTTTGTTCCCTTTGCCAGTATGGAGTGACCTTCTTTGTCTCTTTTGAGGAATTTTGGCTTGAAGCCTGCTTTGTCAGATACGAGAGTAGCTACTCCTGCTTGGTTTGGGGCTCCATTTGCATGGTATATCAATTTCCATTCTTTTACTTTCAGCCGGTGGTGGTCTTTACCTGTAAGGTGCATCTCTTGCAAACAACATATAGTTGGGTCTTGTTTTTTAATCCCTTCTGCCAACATGTCTTTTAATTGGAGAATTGAAATTTACATTCATTTTTATTAGAGAGAGCTGTGTATAAATACCTATCATTTGATTCATATCTAATGTTTAATTTGGTTTTCTCATTTGCTTAACCACCTTTTAGATAAGATTTGTCATTTGTGAGCTCTGGAGGTTTTTTTTTTATTCTGTTTGAAGTGTTTCTTTAAATAAGTTTTTTAGTGCTGACTTAGTAGCAAGGAATTCTTTTAGTTTCTGTTTATCTTGCAAGATTTTTATTTCCCTTCAGTTTTGAAGAATATCTTTGCTGGGGGCTGGGGATGTGGCTCGAGCGGTGGCGCGCTCGCCTGGCATGTGTGCGGCCCGGGTTCGATCCTCAGCACCACATACAAAGATGTTGTGTCCGCTGAAAACTAAAAAATAAATATTTTTTTTTTAAAAAAAGAGTATCTTTGCTGGATGTAGCAGTGTTGGTGACAGTTATTTCCTTTCAGAGCTTCAGCCCAGCCTTCCAGCCCTCCCCACTTTAAAGTTGTTTTTTATTTTATTTTTTTTAATGGTTGTAGATGGATATCATGCCTTTATTTGTTTAGTTTTTATGCGGTGCTAAGGATCAAACCTAGTGCCTCACACATGCTAGGCAAGCACTCTGCCACTGAGCTATAGCTTCAGCCCACTTTAAGAGTTTTTACTGAGAAATCAGAAATGATTCTGACTGTCTTGCCTCTAAATGTGTTCTGATGTTTTCTCTCGAGGCCTTTAAAATTCTGTTCTTGTTTTGTTTGTTTTAGTGTATCACAGAGTGGTTCTTTTTTGATTGTGTCTATTTGGGGTTCTGAATGCTTCCTGTATCTGGAGGTCCATCTCATTCCCAAGGTTTAAATTTTTTCTGTTATTATTTCCCTGAAGAGGTTATCCATGCCATTAGTCTGTGTTTCATCATCCTCTTCAATTCCGGTGATTTTTTTATCTTGGCTTCTTACTGTCCTAGAGTTCTTGCATATTCTGGTCTGGTTTCTTTCTTTCTTTAGTACTGTCTGAATGTTCAAGGTTGGCATTTTGTCTTCCAGCTCTGAGATCATGTCTTTAGCATGATCTACTCTGTTAGACATTAACCTGAACATTTCATTTGATTTATTATTATCTTTCATTTCCAAGATTTCTGTGGTTCTTTTTCAGTATCTCTCCTTATCGAATTTATTGTTCATACCCTATACTGACTTCATTGATGGAGTGTATGTGTGTGTTTTCTTGGAATTTATTGATCGTTTACACAACCATTTTGTAAAATTCTTTATCTGGTATTACATTCACTTCAGTATCTTTAGAGTCACTTGCTGGTGAATCGTGAGCTTTAGGAAGTGTTGTGCTACCTTGCATTTTCATGTCTCTTGATTTACTCTGTTGGGTTTCAGGCATCTGTTGGAATGAACTTCTCTCTCTCTCTCATGTATGGGCCTTCTCTTGCCAGTGTGTCCTCACACAATCTAGATGGAGACCTCTTCCTAGGTTTGGTGTCCCAGCCTTGGTGCTAACTCTGGTTTTGCCATGGCAGTGGATGTCCATGAGTGGGACTGGGGAGCTACCACTCCACCCTAATTGTTAGTTGGGGGTTTGTTTTTTCTCCTTTTTTTTTTTTTTTTTTTATATTGGAGTGCAGTGGAGTTTGAATGTCATCTGTGTATGGTGCAAGGTGTGCTGTCTTTTGGCTGAGTTGAGTTTAGCAGTAGACTCTCCATCCTGTGAACTCGCACAGTGTCCCTGTGGATTCCCAAAATCTCACAGAAAAGGGGAACAAAACAGTAACAACAAAAGCAAACAACATATGGCATTAAAACAAATACCTGTTGCTACTATGACATCTACAACACCATTACCACAAAAACAGGAATGGTAGGGTTGCCAGCAGCAAAAACAATAAATGACCATGAACTAGATCTAGCATTGAAATAAAAAGTAGGTATCAATTGTCTTCCACAGCACTAATAACTGCAATAACATGAGTGGTGGGGAAAGGAGTCACAGAAACCAAATAGTTCTAAAAAAACTATTTTAAAAATTCATTAAGAGAAAATAAAATGTGGTAAGAAGGTAGAAGAGTTTAGAGTGTTCAAAATGTGAACAGTAAATGCAGAAGAGATGTGGCAAGTGGTGATCATAAAGTCGGAGGATAAAAATAGAAAAAAAAGTAAATGAAGAGAGAAAGAATAAGAATTTAGCTGAAAAGAGGAGGAGAGAAAAATAAGGGAAAAAATGCAAAACAAAAGTCCTAACCCTCAAAAGATAAGAAAAAGTAACTATCATAAAAATGCTAAAACTGAGAGAGAAACAAATATGGATACGTACATGTGTGTCCATGGACCAGTGAGCACAGCGAGGTCGTGAGGACACATGGCTAATGGAAGAGGCATCCCCACTGAGGTGGTCGGAACACTTGACAAGGATGGGTGGGTGCTCACTGCTGTGCAGACTGTCCTTTCCAGTTCTTTTGGGGCTGAGAGAGAAGAGGATTGGTGCTTTTCAACCCCTTCCCCTTTTTTTCCTGTTGCTCACTGCTGAGGGCTGGAGTGGCCTAAAACTGAAGGTGATTGAGATTGCTCTGTGTGTGAGACCCTGCATGGTCACAGGTCCTCAGGGAGGAGGAGGAGTAAGGCCGCCCAGGGCTTCTAGAGTGGGAGCAGCTCTGTATGACACTTCTTGGTGGGATCTTGTGGAATCTACAGCATGGAGTGAGCTCTCCTGAAAGCTACGGACGTTGGTTGGCGAGTTCGTAGGCCCATTAGTTTTGATAGACCATCAATCCCTGGTGGGGTGTTGAGAGCAGGGCTGGCTCTGCATGTAGTTGCAGGATGTATCTAAAGAATTTTTTGAAAAAAATAAGTAAAATCAGTAACCTCTGAGAATCTGTAAGAATTGGAGAAGTTCAGCTGCCAGTAGAAGGAGTGTACATACATAGCACACTGCTCACATAAAGATGCAGTGGGAGAACTTCCTGCTGGTACAGGAGAGCTCAGGTCACTGGAACCCTCTCTGTGGGCGTTGGGCCTGGTGCCAGTGACATGTGAGGAGACAGGCTGCTTGAGCCGTTGTCTGTAGAAAATTTGCCCCACAGAGACCTCCAGGCCAGAGGGCTCCTGTGACTTTCCCAGACCCCTGAGGAGCAGCTGGGTAAGGGAAGGCTCTCTAAGCACTTTTTATGAGTTCAGCTGAACCTCGATACCAAAATCTAACAGCAGCATGATGAAAAATGAACATTTAGCCCTGTTTCGTGAAAAATAATTCAGATTTCCAAGAAAAAAAAAAGCAAATTGAGTCTAGTAGTAATATGTAAAAGCTTATGGGACATGATAGGCAAGCGGGTTTATTTTTGTAATCCAAGGTTGATTTAACACTTGAAAATTACCATGGTTGGTTGGGGGGCGGGGGGGGCGCTGGGCTTGTGGCTCAGTGGTATAGCGCTCGCCTAGCATGCACGAGGCACTGGGTTTGATCCTCAGCACCAATATAAATGTAAAATAAAGGGGCTGGGGATGTGGCTCAAGTGGTAATGCGCTCGCCTAGCATGCGTGAGCCACTGGATTCGATTCTCAGCACCACATAGAAACAAAATAAAGATATTGTGTTCACCTAAAATTAAAAACTAAATATTTAAAAAAAATAAATGTAAAATAAAAATATTGTGTACACCTAAAACTAAAAAAAAAAATTACCATGGTTTGCTTTCTTAACACAGTGATGAGGGAAAAGGTGGTTACATGAATGGATTCCAAAAAGCGTTTGATTAAATTAAGTTTATTTATGGTAAAGGCAGCAGAGACCATGAGGCCTGACCTGGTGGCCACTGCTGTGCCCCAGGTATTGACTGCTGTTCTTCACTCTGTCTCTGCAGCTCGAGTACATCAGCCCCAGAGCTGTGCAACTGGGTTCCCTTCTTGTCCGTGGCCTCACCACTCTCGCCCTGGTTAACAGTGCGTGTGGCTTCCCCTGGAAGACAAGTGAGTTCATGCCCTGGAACGTGTTTGATGGGAAGCTTTTCCATCTGAAGTACCTACAGTCTGAAAAAGGATATTCTGTGGAGGCTCTTTTGGAACAAAATGTGAGTTCTGGTTTTTGCACGTTCGAAAACAAATCCAGCAACCTGAAATTGCAGAGTCCTGGAGTTGACATCGGAAGACAAACTAGCTGTCAGTCCTAATGGGCGTGTTGCTTTAGGAAAACAAATGTGCTCCCCAGAAACCTCCCCACCATCCCAGGCACTGAGGAGTCTCGGCTGACCTTGGGGCACTGGCTGTTTCCATGGCTGCTCTCCATAGCACCAGACGTGCACTCCAGCTCACTCTCCCGGCAGAGGGGCCTACAAACACTAGGCCAGCCTGGGAACCTTGACCCCTGGAGGCTCCCCATGTTGTTGAGGTCATGTGCTGCTCCTGATTTCTAAGCACCATTGCTGCCCATCCCTGCAAGACTTCTAAGTAAGGTTCACACCTAGCTCATGTGGAGTGTTTCAGGGGAAACGATTGGTAATGCATCCACCATCATTTTTCAACGAAAAAAGAAAAAATGTCCAGGGTGGTATAGGGCTATTAAGTATTCAGAACTTGGGAGCAGCCCAAATGAAGAGCAGAAAGCAAACGCTGAATAAGAGGAAAAGCATGCCTCGGTTGTGGGCATCACTGCCACAGAGGCTACAGGAGACAGCCAGAGGGTGCTGCTGAGAGTCCTTTCACAGGCCTCTTTCTTGTACCTGGTCTCTGGCCAGCACAGGTGACAGCAGGTTTGTTTTGTTTGTTTTTTAAAGAGAGAATTTTTTAATATTTATTTTTTAGTTTTCGGTGGACACATCATTATTTTATTTTTATATGATGCTGAGGATCGAACCCAGCGCCCAAGGATCCAGGCATACAAGGCAGAGTGCTCACTAGTAAGAGGAGGCTGCAAGGAGAGAGCGCGCTGCCTCCCCATCTGCCGCTGTCTGTGACCTTGGTCTCCCCAGTGAGTGCTCTTGCATGGAGATGGGAAACAAGGTGTGTTAATTGCACAGGCTTTTCAGCCAGATTGTGTGGCAGTCACCCAGCTGGTTACAGCAGGGCTACAGGTCGGTTTAACCTGTGGAAGACGAAACAGGCACAGCTGCGTGCTGATGCTTTGCCAGGGGGTATGAGGGAACAGACTTCCAAGCCCTCTTGTCAGGCCTCCATCCTCGCTGGTGCAGTGACCTTGGGCACAGGGCCCCTCGTGGGTGTGACCTTGCTATTTATGTGACACAGGACTAGCTCTCAATTGCATCTGATCTGTTTGCAGAGGTCCTGGCTCACCAGATTCCACAACCTGAAAGCAGTGGTCTGCAAGGCCTGCATGAAGGAGAACCGACGCATTGTGGGCAGAGGGCACTGGAGCTCACACCACACAGGTGGGCAAGGGGTGGGCATTGTAGCACACCTGTCACTGGGTGTTGTGGGCCCAGGATAGACCCAGTCACTTCTGTGGTTTTTTGGTAAGAACTCCAAAAAGAGGTGGATAGAAGTTCAAGAAAAGGTTAACCTTGATGGGATAGGACTTTACCAAATGGTTTAAATTCGGTCCCATTGAGAAAGTGTTCAGAAGGGAGCCATTTGTTCTTGAGTGATGAGGAGCTCTCTCTGTGCATGTCCTGCCTTCCACATTCTCCTAGGACAGAGATCACCAGGGAGTGTTTATAAAACAAAAGCTTAAGAGTATTGGGCTGGGGATGTGGCTCAAGCGATAGCGTGCTTGCCTGGCATGCGTGCGGCGCTGGGTTCGATCCTCAGCACCACATACAAATAAAGATGTTGTGTCTGCTGAAAACTAAAAAATAAATATTAAAAAATTTCTCTCTTAAAAAAGAAAGAAAGAAAGAAAAGCGTAAGAGTATAAAGAAAGTAAGAAAGGAAACATAGAAGCCTCTCATTCTGTCACCCTGAGGGACAGGTGTTGAGGACTGGTTGCTGTGAGCTTTTCTTGTGCTTCAGCTTTGAGGTCCACTCTCCATGTGGCTTTGCCATGCAGCACCTAGCATGTGGCTCTGAGATGGCCACAGGCTTTCGATTTCCCCCTTCAGAGCTTCGCAACTGTTTCCAACTTTCTTGTGGCTCACAGTGCTTCTGTGTGTGTCATTTCCTTAACAGAGCATTGTAGGTCAAGTGTAGTTGAATTCAGGGAAGTGTGGCCAGCGTGTGTTCTGTGATCCATTTCATCTCTTCGCACCTTTACCAGCAGTGACCAAAGGTCTTAGGAGGCACACTTGAGAGCACCTAAGGGTGTATTCCTTTTCATTCATCTCATTGATTGGATGCTTCTGTGTATCGTGGTGTGGGACACCCCACTGCTTATCTTGTTGGTGGGTGTCTCGTTGTTCTCCCTGTCTTTGTTTGGTTGGTCTCTGAACCCTTGGCAGCCTGATGTTCTTGCTGATGGAGTGAGAGCTCACCCCAGACCCTGCCCATTAGGCTATCTTCATGAGCCTCAGTTGCACCAGCCTTGCAGACTTCACCTTGGAGGCTGTGTGTGATTGGAGCACCCATCCTTTCAGGTGTCCAGTCCTCCTAACTTTGAGTGTGGACCCATTAGGGAGAACAGCTGGGTGGGGAGCTGCCCCAGACCAGGAAAGGGTGGTGCCTTTATCCATTTGCTAACCTTTCCTCCGTTTTTTGGCTTTAACCTAACAGCTGAAGTTGGGTAGAATTTGAGACCCAAAAGCACTACAGAATAATTGTGCTACCATCTCTGCATTACTGTTCTCAGGGTAGTCGACAGTCTGGGCTCAGCCTGCCTATGGATGGATGTGTTCCTAATTCAAACTGCTCAAGAGTGGGACAGATGGCAGAGAGCCTTGCTGAAGGCTGTGTGCCGGGTGTTTTGAGGTGGCCATTGTCACTGGGCTTTGCATACCCAGACTTCTCTCTGGTCACGCTGTCCATGTGTGCTGTGAGAAGATGCCTGGTGCTAAGGTTGCTGCCTGCTCACACAGCTGCATGGCGGCTTCCCCACAGCCCACCTCCCTTGAGTTGGCTTCTAGACTCAACAGCCATGAACACAGGGTCACACGCAGCTCAGTATGCTGGCGCGGATCCAGCGTTGCCCCCACAGAAACCTCCAGAGCTGGAGGTGTGATGTGATAGTCGGATACAGTGGACACATGACAAACAGGTAGCTCAGCAGCAAGGGTGGCAGTCACGGCTCGCCAGGGAAGCCCAGGGCTGGAGCCATGGCAAGCAGGTGGAAGGCCACTGGTGAGATTTGGGTACATCACCACAGTGGGAGATGAACCAGGAAAGGTTAGTAGGAGCTGGATACAGGAGACTGTTGATTGCCACGTTTAAGAGTTGACATTTTTATCCAGTGCAAATCAAGAGAGCTTTTGAAGGCTTTTAAAGTGAAGCAGTCAGAAATACTGCTCTCATCTGGATGCAGTGGTGCACGCCTATGATCCTAGGGACTCGGGAGGCTGATGTAGGAGGATCACAAGTTCAAGAGCAGCCTCAGTAACTTACTAAACCCTGTCTTAAAATAAAAAACAAAACAGCTGGGGATTTAGCTCAATAGTGGAGTGCCTCTTGGTTCAATCCCTGGTACCAAAAAAAGAAATACCATTTAGGAAGGTGTCCTTATCAGCAGCAGAGAATGGGGATGAGGAAGCAGACTGGAGGCCGTCTTGGGCCCAGACAAGTGGTGCTGGAAGGGGAGCCAGGATGACTCTGGCAGCATGTGGCTGCTCCCTTGAGTGCAGTCTTCTTCCTTTACCGTGATTAGAACCCCAAGGGCTGTGGACTGTTCCTTGTGTCCATAGTGGCTCCAGGCAGAAGAGGGGCTGTGCCTGAGACACCAGGGAACACTGGCCAAGGCCATGCTGCTTGGTACGTGTGGCCCAGAGCTGTAAGCAGCAGTGTAGCACCCACATCTCAACTTCTGTCTTTGTAAATCACTATGGAGTACCAGAACACTGAAGGAAATAATACTGAGTCAGGTCTTCTAGTAGAGACAGATGGCAAAAGGTAGAGGGTTTGGGAAGTTATGAACACTGTGAAGTATGTACCCACGAGTTTGAGGAGCTCATGAAGTCCTAGGTAGAACGTCCCCTAAGGATGAGTTGGCCAAGGGATTCAGAGGTGGGGCCCATACCTCTTTTCAGGGGTGGAGCTCCTGGCCCCATCGCCCTCGGGGCCCCAGTGAACCTGAGACCTCCTTTGGAAGGAACATGTTTGGCTGTTGCCCTCGGCCCTGGGCACAGGATCACATTCCCTGCAGCGGCTCCTGTGCTGCAGTCCTGTGTGCACCCACAGCGCCTTTCCATCGCAAGCCCACTGAACATGTGGGGACTGCTGACTCGGTGCCACCTGCCATGTTAGACCTGGGGCAGGGCAAGCGTGCTGTGCTGACATGCTGACTGTGTTCCCACAGGGAGGTGGGGAAGGCAGGGCTCCAGCTCCCACAGGACAAGCTCTTCGTGTGGCCATTCTGGGCAAGGACAGCCGTGGAGAGACCAGGGTCCAGGTAAGAAGCCATGTGTGCCAGCCTCCATGCACGGTCTGGCCAAACTGCTCCTCCTGTCCCGAGTGTGCGGTTCACTGCTGAGACGCGTCGTGTGTGGGCATCTGTCTGCTCCCGGCCACTTCATTCATCACCCTAAGTACCCAGCTTTTGGAGTTTCCTTAACAAAGGCTCTTACACAGTTACATGTCAAAAGTTCACCCTTCTAATGAAGAGTGAAGCACAAATAGGAAGATTCTGGTCATGTTCATGTCACAGTCATATACATGAGGGATACACACACACGTAAACGTGGTGTGGGAGATGAGCCTTATCCTTGGTTTCTTGTACATGTAGCACAGGTATCTAGTGCACATATTTTGCTGAATTTAGTATGTAATATTCACATCTAAATACATAGAAAACCTCATTGTTATTTAAGCTCAGATTCCTTAGTTTAGAGAATCAAACTTTATAGACTTCAGAATTATCTAAAATTTATCATTTTATTCTTTCATGCACACTTTTAATTCATGATATTTTTATGTTTCTAACCTCTAAATCGTGTGGTAGCTTCTCACGTGGCTCAGTTTACTTTCAAGGCACAGTAGGTCTTGAGCGTTAACCCAGTTGTTGTGTGTGGCACCACCTCTGAGAACAGCTCATGCAGGTCGTCACCAAGATGCTTGCCTCAGGGATCTGAGCACAGTCTTGCCCAATGCTGAGTCTTGTCCTGGTTTGCACATTGAGCAAACACCAGAGCCAATGGGTATCTCTGCAGGGCCCACCCGCAGGCAGTAGAAGGGCTCTGCTAATGTAGGCTTAGATTGCTTGGACATTTCCCTGAGCTGAAACCTGCAGACCTTGCTCTTCCACATCCTGCCTGCCACCTGGGCCTCCCTGGCCAAGTGGACCTCCTCAGTCACCTACCTTCTCTCATGGTCTCTAGTGTAGCAACACATGAGGGTCACAGCCACCTCACTGCCAGTTAAGCAATCTGCTCATCTGCCTGAGCAGTATAACTTCCTGTTCAGAATACTTGAGCTTGCTCTTAATTTAGGAGATACTAAAATTCACTGGACTAAACCACCAACAGGGACCCTGCAAATGACCAGAAGGCCTTTGACTTGCCTAGAATGAGATGGTGCAACCCATGGGTAGCCCTGGGGTCCTGCTGCAGGGCACATGGGCCAGCTGGTGCTGGCCTGTAGAATCCATCTGTCTCTGCTGGGCAGAGCATGTATGGGCTGCCTGAGAAGAGTGTGGTGTTTTGGCTTCTCAGTCTGTAAGGCTGATAGGGTTCCAAGTGAGCTGGGTGCAAAATGAAATGCAGACCTCATGGCTGACCTGCCCCCTGCTAGTTCAGTGAGGAGTCTGAGAAGGCTTCCCACTAGCAGTGTATAAGCAAAGACTTGATGGGGGTGGGAGCAGCTGCCAGGTGTATGAGGGACATGGGGCAGAGAGGGGATGGCCAGCAGGGAGCAGGAGGTCTGTGTTTGCAGAAGGAAAGGACCTAGCACTTGAAATTGATGGCAGAGGGACATTTGGCCTTAGTTACCAGTGGCCATCCAAAGTGCTACAAGCCTGCTGTGTTAAGCTGGCCCTGATACACAATGGCTTGAAACAAGCAAGGGGCTGGCTTGGAGTAGCCAATTGGGGTGAGGGAGCTCTAATGCCTGGCACCCAATGAAGGTCAGGGCTATGCACTGAGGCTTTGGCCCCTGGATGAAGCCAGTCATGCAAGCCGGCTGGGACTAGACTGTGGCAGGAGCTGGTGGCCTCACATTGAGCCAGCTGATCTGACAGGATGGGAATAGGTCTCACCCCTGCAGAAGCCACAGTTACTCCCAGCCAGGTGAGGAGCTACCCTACTTCCAACCTTTCCAGTGAGCAGTCCCCACACTTGCCCAAGAGTGCTGAGGAAGGTGACCTTGTGCTTATACTTTTTTAGCTTTGGATTGTCCCTTTCCTTGCTCTGTCCAGATCCTAGGTGAGGATAGGTGGTGACCGGGCCAGCAGGGCAGGGAAGAGGCTGTGTGCTGCAGGCAGGGTCAGCACACTGCCCCTGATGAGAAGAGCACAGCCCTGCTTGGAAGTCACCAGGTCTCCTGAGAGGGACAATATCTTGGGTGACTACCCAGGTTCTTCATGCTTTTCATCAGGAAACTAGACGGGATTGCTTCTCTGTCTCCATAGCTCCTCAATTTTGATCCTGGTTTTTCAGAGTGGGTGAGCAATAATCAGTGGTACACCAAAGGGACAAATAGAGGAAGGTGGGGTGGGTGTCATAGAGCGGCCATCAAAGACAGGCCCAGTCCCAGCCCTAGTTCTGTCCTGGGCCTGCCGCCCATGGCATAGTGAAGGTTGCAGGCTTTCTTACCTGCTGCAGTCTCCAGAGGAAGCCCGTAGCTTTCCACAGCAGGTCCCATCTGCAGGCTGGGCTCCACTCCTTTACCGCAAGCCTGCAAACCTCTCTGGTCCTCAGGTGTTGCCAGCACTCAAGGTTCCTAGCACAGCTGTGCTTGCCTCATCAGCACTTACCTGGGATCACCATCGCCATTCTGAGCCTTGTCCCAAGCATTTCAGTGTTACCTTCCTGGCCTTGATTATAGCGTTTTACCTAATGTTTATGTGGAACCATTTCCTATCAAAAACAAAATAGTCGCTTTTACCTCAGTGTATTTGCTTTCAAAATAATAAAGCAAGAAACCCCACCGAAACCCCCATGAGCAGCCATCTTCCAGGCACCAGGATTGACCAGGGCATGGCCTTCAGGCTGAGTGCATGCCCCAGAGAACATTACAAGTTTTCTGTTCTTTGCTTTTTTTTTTTTTTTTTTTTTTAAATGTAGTTGTAGGTGAACAGAATGCCTTTATTGTATTTATTTTTATGTGGTGCTGAGGATCAAACCCAGGGCCTCATGTGTGCCAGGCAAGTGCTCTGCTGCTGAGCTACAGCCCCAGCCCACATTGCAAGTTTTCTGTTCTTTTCCTTGGGTGGTTGTGGAGAGACAGGAGCATTCCGGAGTTTGGCGGTAACCTCTCTTCCCGGCTTTGGTAGGAAACAGAGTTGGTTTCTTCAGATGCAGTTAGCAGAGAGTACCAACAGTATCCAAAACCCTGTCCTCCTCAGGCAGTTAAAGACAGTAGTGGCCTTCCCTAGGGCAGAGAGCAGGTATGTCCTGGGCTGGAGGGAGTGTGCGACCTGGCGCCCGTGCAAGGGCAGCAACTCTTTGGGCCTCTGTGTGCACGTTAGCCTGTCCTAGCCCAAGCTCTTGCTGGTCCCACAGGAGACCAGGGCCATCGTGTTTTTGCAGGCCCCACCTGTGGGCAGCTGTTCTGGCCTGTGATACTGCAGTGCAGGCTTAGGGTGATGGTGGCCCTGAGCACCCGTGGGCGGGGGGCAGCTCTGCAGGGCCTGGACTGTGGGCACTTGTCATGTGGGGTGGTCAGGAGAAGATAGCCCTGTGAGTAGAGTCCAGAGAGGCAAGGAGCCGGCAGACTGGCTCTGTGGAGGTGAGGTGGGTGTGGGCCCAGGAGGGATGGGCTCATAAGGGGTCATGTCCTGTACTCCTTTCTGGACAGGACAGGCTGCCCCCATGAGAAACTGGAGACCTGGCACAGGACCCAGGGTTATACCTAGCCCTGCAGCCTCCCCCATCCCCTCCTCAGCCCCACTAGGCTCTTCCTCTTTGAACATCAGTGGTCACACCTCAGCCTGGTCTATGGAAACTCTTCTCTCTGCCTGCGGTGTCCCTTCTTCCCTCAGGGTTTGGTCCTCCCTAGGCTCCAGGCCCTGGTGCCATTGCCATACCAGGTGTGCATTCTGTAGGAACTAAGTGCACACTGAGCCAATGAAGCAGAGGCTCAGTGGGCAGCACCGTGTGGCTGTGGGCTGCCTGGCACCCGTGTCCTGCTCTTACCATGTGGACTTGCATGTTCTTGAGCTAGGCCTCGGTGCTGAGGTGGAGAGTCTTGGCTCCCTCTTGCTGGATGTTGTGTTTAATGCCAGCCCACTGTCACGGGCCCCAGGTTCTGGCTTTAATTCCAGCGCACACATATTCACATTTCATTTCTGACATACGTTGCCTTAGGGTTCCAGGCACATATATAAAGTTGGGTACTGGAAATGGTGTAGTTCCTCCTGACCCAGAGAGGAGCAGAGGTAGAGTGTGGGCAGCAAGGTGTAGACGGGCAGGCACCAGGACACGCAGGTCTGGGCTCCTGCAGCCACCTGCTGGCGGGTGTCGAGGGGAGGCTCAGGCACAGCCTCAGGCGTCCTAGTCCTCAGGCTGGCCGCTGGTGCAGGTGTCTTCTGCTTTCAGACGTTCTGTGTGAGATGCTGCTGCAGAGTCGGGCTTGGGACTGGGGTGTAGGTTTTCACTGGTAACCGCTGTGTTTTGCCCACCTTGAACTCCCATTTTTGTATTTCTTGCAGATATTGAAATAGTCTGAGTAGAAAGTTGCCACTATGTCCAGGACAGTGTCAGTAGGCAAAAGTCTTTCTGTTAGGGAAAAAACACCAAGAACCTTGTAACTAAAGGGTCTAGTTGCTGCCAGAGTTGGCAGGTTCCAGCGCCCTGCTCTGCCCTGACCACCGTGTGCTGTGTGGAGCTGAGGCCCCAGGGTCTTAGCAGGGAAGGCCTCTGGGAAGACTGGGCTACACCCCAGAGGTGGCGCACATGAAAGCCTAGGGCCCAGCTTTTGTGCACAAATGGTCCACAAAGCAGTGCACCCTCCCCTCGCCCTGCTCAGCCCCACCAGCAAAGGGTCCTGTGTGGAATTCCAGTCAGAAGCTGAAAGGTGCCTGTGAGTCTCACCTTCTCTTCTCTGTGGTGGGTCTGAAGAAGGCTCTGCTTATCCGGGCAGCATGGTGGGAACCATGCCCTCTGGAATCCACCTCAGCTACCAGCCTCCTCCTGGAGCCAGAGCCCTCACACGGGGTTGTCAGGTGTGGCCGTGGGGCTATGCTTCCTTTTGCCAGAAGAAAACTAAGAGTAGGCATGAAATTTGTAGGTAAGTGTTACTTTTAAGCTAGAAAAACTCTGACCTTTCTTACCAGGAGGTGGGTTCTGCCCAGGTCCTTTCTCAGCATTCCCTCTCTCTCAGAAAGGCAGAAAGCAGCCAGTGCCCTGTGGGCTGGGGACAGAAGCTCTGGGCTCAGCAGCCACACACTCTGTCTGTGAGCCCTGTGAATGGGAGAGCCATCTTGGCAGTGGGCTTTGTGTAGAGGGTGGGACGTGGTGTTCAGAGGGCAGTTCTGATGTCAGCTTCCACTCATAGCCCGACCTCTGGAGTGACTGCTTCCACTCTAATGGATGATTGTAGAACAAAATTTTAATGCCTGGTGGCCACTGCTGGAAAGAGAGTAAAGTTCTGTTCTTGTGTGCACTCAGAAACATGCAGCTTTCTGTTGGATTGTGAGGAAGGTTTCTGACTTGGGCTGTCATGTTGTTTGGTGCAGGAAGCAGAACCCACGAGCATGACCAGTGGAGGAGGTACTAGTGTCTCCACCTGCATCCCCAGAAGTGCCAGGAGAAGCCGTCTACCACTGAGTCTTGCCGAGTGCCCGGCTTCCCAGGGCTCACATGCTGCTGGATTTGACAAGTTCGCCTCCTGCAGTTAAGATGAGGAGGACGCAGCACCTGAACCCCACCCTGCCCAGCTGCAGCTGCAAGGAAAGTGGCTGTGGGACCAGAGTTCACTTGAAAAGAGAAAAGACCCTTGCCAGCGACTTGTCCCCATGTGTCCCGGGTTGTGCTTGATTGCAGGGCCCAGAACAGTCATCATTAACTTCTGCGTTACGTAACACGTGATTGACATCTTTCTCCAGGAGATTGGCGCCTGACCTCACCTGTTCTTTAACTGGACACTACATTGTGAGGATACTTTCCCATGTCCCTGCGAGGCGCTGGACGTGTGGTATCTGACAGTCATGTGGCATTTCACAAATTGTTTTCTCGTTGGAAATTCTAACAAGTCAAGTTTCCAACTATTTCTTCTCTTGGTTCTTGGAAATGTTTGAAAGAAAGGAAGGAACAGCTGGGCACGATGGCTTATGCATGCAGTTCCAGCAACTCAGGAGGCTGAAGCAGGAGGATCACAAGTTCACAACCAAAATAAGGTCCTGTCTCAAAACAAAAAAAATTTAAGTAGGTGCCTGGGGATATGGCTCAGTGGTAAAGTGCTTCTGGGTTCATTCCTCAGTACAAAAAAAAAAAAAAAAGAAGAAGAAAGGGAAGGCACAAGTACACATACCCTCCCGGTGGGAGGTGTCCTGCTGGGGCAGGGCAGGCGAGGGGCTCACCTGGTCACTCTGCCTTTTCAGTTCTTTCAGCAGTGCACACAAGGGCAGGCTGGTTCTCAACAGCCAGATGGGAGGCCCAGGGCGATGACCCTGGGAGTGGAACACCCACTGCTCTTTTCCTCTGAGCAATGAAGAGCCTCTGTTTTTAAAAAATGTTTTAAATGAATCCAAGTTCAGAGTAGCTCTTTCCACCGAATTTTCAAGTAACCCCAGAATTGGAAATTGGCCCCCCCACACTGTAGGAGCTTCACCTCTGGGGAGTGGAGGTGGAAAGCATTCAGGGTGAGGCTGAGAAGACTGTGTGACCTCAGGCTGCTGCCTGACTACACGTGGTCCCTGAGAGCTGGCTGCCCCTGTCAGGGTCCTTCCCAGGCCACAGCACAGCTCTGGAGAGGCTTGGTTCTCCTAGGAAATGCTCCCTTCTGGTTGCTGCTGTGTTTAAACTCAAACCCCCGGCACACTGACATCCAGGTTCCCTCTGCCCCTGAGGGAGTGCCCTGCCCAGCACTCCACCTGCTGCTTGTCTTGTACTTGGCAAAGCAGGCTGTGATCTCCAGACGTTGAGCACATTTGTGTTTCTTAGGTTCGAAAACCCAGTGGCCACTCGGTGCAGCTGTTGCTGAGGATGTCCATGTGCCTGCTTATGCTTCATGTGAGTCCGAAGCGTCTACAGCTCTGCCTCCTGGCTTTGGAAATAGGTGTTTCCCGCTCTTCCTGTGAGTGCCATGTACCTGAGTATCCACTTCCTGTTCATTCTTTTGCTCCTTTGAAACCACAGCTGCCTTTAGAAATCCTCTTTCTTTGCTGCTTGTGTGTGTTTCTGTGAAATTTCTCACCCCTTAGACTGAAAATGGACTTCTGAGACAGACATTTCCCTTTGTAGTACCTAAATTCTGATTCATCAATAAAATATTTATGTTCTTTTCACAAGCTTAAGTTGTGTTGGTGTGACCTGCATTCCATTTGAAAACCAGGGCACTGGATGTTTTGTAATCTTAATATTGTTTGTTTATAAGTTATTTCTGAGTTTAGTTTCCTGATAGAATCTATATGTATCAATTTTTAATTGCAAAGATCGTTTACTCATAATTCACATTTTCTTAAATTTGGAAGACATTTCAACATTCAGTAAATTGGGATGTTTATGAAGAAAGAGAAGCTATTGGGAGACCTGTGTCCCTATGGGATAGGCCCAGGAAGATGGAGGAGGTGCAGGCCCTGCACAGCCCCGTATGTGTGACGTGGCCTGAGACTGCACAAGATTTCATTTCCTGCATTGATATTATTGAAAAAATGTCCTCTAGAATCAGAAGTTAATTTGTTGGGGACCCAAAGCTATGCAGAATGTTTCTGTATCTAACATTCCACGAACCACACTCTGCTGCTACATGTACAGTGTTAGCGTTTGGATGTGAAGTGTCCCCAAAAAACTCATGTGTGAGACCATGCAGGAAGGTTTAGAGGAGAGAAATTTCACCCTTATAATCATAGATCCTTAACCTAATCAGTTAATTGATTCCCTAATGGGATTAACTGAGTGGGGGCCTGAGGCAGGTGGCGTGTGGCTAGAGGAGGTGGTTCACTGGGGGTGTGCTGGTGGGGTATATGTTTTGTGTCTGGTCAGTGGACTCTCTCAGCTCCCTGATCATCCTTTGCCACACTCCTCACCCTGATGTCCTGCCTCACCGTGAGCCCCGAGGAATGCAGTCTGCTGTCTATAAACAGACCTATGAAACCATGAGCCCCCAAATCGACTCCTCCCACCCCTAAAATTGTCCTGGTCAGATCTTTTAGTCACAGCAGAGAAAGAGCTGACTAAAACATGGTATGTGTCTGTGCGAATCAATGTAAAAAGATGGTATTTTATCGTATGTATCTAAAATTTTGACTGATGCTATCAAATTACACTCAAAAACAGTGGTGTCCTCTCGTCCCGGTCTTCACTGATCAGTCACACCAGGTATGAGTAGCCAGCTCTCTGTGCCTGTCTCTCTCGTGCAATCTTCAGCCTGGTGTGGCCCCTGCACCCTGCACAGTGCATCACCCAGAACTGGGTGTGGGCCCAGACCGAGTCAGGAGTTCAGGCTGGGCATGGTGGTCACGGGCCACTCCACCACACATGGGCGCCCACTCCTCGCTCTCGCCTGGGGAACTTGCCTGCAAGGCTGGCGTGGACTTCTTCCCAGAGGGGCTTCTGGAGGTGCAGGACGAGCATCTCCAACGCTGGAGAGCCAGGCAGCAGTCCTGTCCCTCTCACAGCTTTGCCTCAAGTCCTGCAGCATCTCGTTTTTGCCCTTTTCTTTTCACGCAGGTATCTAAAAAGGCCTGTCCAATTCAGGAGATGAAGCTGATACTCCTGCTAGGCAGGAGCAGGGTGCTGAAGGGTCTGCCATGGCCAGCCCCGCCAAAGTTCCCCCTTACATACAGCAGCACGCTGAATCTCATGCCATCCAGCTGTCACCCCCCCCAGGAAGCTGTGGTCCTTCAGCCTTCTCAGGGTTTTAGCTCTCTGCTTTCTCAGCTGTTGACTTCACCTGTGGCCTTGCTGCTCCCTCGTGACCTTAGCTTCAAACACTTCCCTGCAGCATCTAGAGTTGGTAGCCCTTCAGGTCTGACCGCCAGCCCACTGACCTGGCACGTGCAGCTGTGTGTCAGCCTGCCTGTCCTCGCTGCTTACCTAGCAGAGTGGTTTCTTGTGTCCTCTGCTTCTGTATAGTCTTCATGCTGTTAAGGCCAGGGCAAAGGACAGGTAGCTGATTATCAAAGAAAAGGAAATGAGTAGATACCACCCCCATCTCCTGGTTACTAACAGCCTGCGGGGGAGTGGGGGGACACACTTTCCAACACAAGCAATCACCCCTGACACTCTCCTCCTGCCCTTTTGGTCAGTTTTTAACAGGACAAGACTCTCCCTTCCTCTCTCCCTCTTTGCCTTAATAAAATCTGCTTTTTGCTCTTGCCCCAGTGTTTCTTGGGTATTTGATCTTCGACACTGGGGGACCTGGTCCTAATTTTCAAGACTGGTTTCATTGTGAGACCACGTACCTGGGTTAAACCCAACTCTGCATTTGGACTATGGCTAGGGAAAGCCCTACTGCCATCCTTCCTGTGCCCACCCTAAGTTCATGCTCCCCAGCCTCAGTGAGCCCTGCACTGCCCAGCACCATCCGTGCTTCCACTCTCCAGAGCCAGCTGCATGTGTCCCTCTGCTGTGTTCCATGTTCCTCCCACCCTCGAGCGCTGGGTCATCCGGTCAGAACTCACAGGCAGGGTGCTGGGGGAAGACACTCAGGGTAGCTTGAGACAATGTCCACATTTTGTCTACTCTTGGGCAAGGTGATCATGCATCTCCAGGAGAGGACTGAAGCTCTTGACCACACTCTGGCAACAGCCACTTCCTCTCTAACCCTCCTATCTTTCCAAGAGGAAATGGATGCTTCAGCAAAATGGGCCCTTCATTTTAACAAGAATGCTGGGAGCAAGCAAAGAAATCAGTAAAATGCACAGGTATTGCCAGGAAATTACTAACCAAAAGCAAATAAATAAGCAAAAACAATTGTGAGACCAAAGTCCCAGGTTATTATAAGGAAAGTGATGTGTGTTTCTGGGTAATGTGATAAAAAGGCATACTACTTAGAACGTAGGTTTCTGTCAAATCCAGATGTGTATACTAAAATGTATGTTACAGTGTGTGCTAAAAAGTAAGGAAATACACTAGAATTTAAAAAAGGAGGGTCTTACCAATTTTAATCTTTATACTGAAATCATAAATTGAAATTTTAAGTAAATACAAGGAGAAATTGGTATGATGTTTTAACACATTTCACAGGAATCAACATGTCAAGTAGACCAAGAATAATGACATACGTTTGAACACGTCAATGAACAAGTTTGTTTTAAGAGATACATGTCAATAGATGTCTTATTTTCACTCTTACCGAATACATGTAGACAGTTCATAATGACATATTAGACTCCAAATTAAACTTCAATCAAAATAATGAGAAATAAATTTACTGAAATCCTACAAGCCATATTTTCTGTTTATAAGAAAATAAATAATTATAAATCAACAAAAAAATAAATAAAAAGCAAAAGTCTTTTTACTTAGAAATTAACCATTCTAGAATACTTATTGAAGAAATAAAAGTCAGAACTTTTAAATAAATCATTCCTGTTCTGCCATGTGGTAGAACAGGAAGAAGTGGTTGAACAGGAAGAAGTGGTATCTGTGACCCACCTTGGTGACAGCTGCCCTGGCACAGGCTGTCTGACACTATTCTGCAACTCTGGAGCCTAAATTTGTGTGGATGCTAAGTTGTGGTTAATTCCCACCCGTGTGGCAGACAGCCTCGTGTGCCGCCTATTGCAAGAGACCTTGACCTCTAAACACTGGGCTGCCAAGAAGCAGGAGCAGGCTGACCACCACTGTCCCACCCCTGACTGAAGTGACTCCCACAGGAGTTAGAGGAACAACACCTGTTGGCCTTCAGAGGTTTATTTTTGCTCTTTTGGGAACTAGATGTTTAAGGATCAGGACCTTCAAAAGCAACCATGTATCAGAGGAATTTGCAAAACCACCAAGTGTGGTCAGGAAAACAGGAGTCTGAGAAGATCTGAAATTGCCCCTTTAGGTTGCTCACCAACACAGAGGCACTCTTTACCAATCCAAAAAGAATAAAAACAGAAAAACATGGATGCCTGAGGCACTTCCGGATCCTAGAGTCTCAACATGGACATGCACCAAAGGAACTTCCAGATCCTAGAGCCTAAACACGTTCGTGCAACTGAGGAACTTTTGGATCCGGGGGCCTAAACATGGAGGACGGAGGAACTT